ATTATTGAGTTATTCTCTTAGCCTAAAATCTACTGACCCACCTGTAATGTGATTAAAAAATGCCAAATCGTTATTTATTTATCTATTTCGTTAAGACCATATCGGCTTAGTTACATTTACAGGGGTTGAAAAGACCCCTCTTGTAGAAAATAAATTTTATTCTCTACGACACTGGTAAAAATTTTACTGTAATAATTAATTTTTTGTAATAAAATAATTAATATCATGGTTAGGCCGTATTGAATAAATCTCTTACCCTCGCTTTTACGAGATCTTTATCCCCACTTATAATCTAAAAATTAAAACCTGATACTCTGGTTTGATTACTCTCAAATAAATACTCATGTAAATTGACTTGTTTGAATGTATTACTGAAAAAATTTCGTTCTAATTCGAGTTTTCTTTACATTTCATATGATTTAAAATTTTGATGTACTTCATCTAACTAATAGATTTCCTAAATCGTGATCAAGTTTCCAATCTAATTAATTACCTAAATCTTTTAATACTCGTAGTTCAAACACTTATTCAACTTCACAATTATTGAGAAATTAGCAATATCTTTGGTGTGGGTTTAATTTTATCATTCATAAAAAATACACCAATTTGTACACGTAAGAAATTCTCGTGGGTCGACCTCTTCAGGAATGTAAAATGACTTTAAACATTAATCTTAGATACAAAAAGCGACGCCTATGGTTACACAATGCAAAAAATTCAAAATGACTTGCATTTAAAGACGAGTCAAAATTTTCCCTAATCGACAGTTCATTTTCTCCTTTGGAAGAGTAGCGAAAATTTACGATATTGGATGGTGAATCTCAAAAGATTGACAATTTGACTCCGAACTTAAATTTAGTTTATTTACTGAAATAATTTACCAATGCTCCGTAAGTGTGGAAATATCCAAAATTATCCTTATAACTTAGGAGTTTGATAGGCAACAAAAGCACGCATTAATTGTTTTTAACCTTTTCATCGGTTCTTTTTTAATTGAGATCAAATAATACCACATATACACAAGAAAGGTGCACAGTTTTGATTAACCAACTTTTTTAATCGTCTAACCGCTCTAAATATATCCACGACGAACGTGTTGCATCTTGGACCCCAACGCTTTCGTGGCGGTGGGCAATTTATTTAAATGGAAGCACTTTAATCCGATACGAAACGAATTTGTTCGCTTACGCTTTAAGAAGTAACACTTCGCACTATTTGCGATTGAAAATAACTCCGCCCCTTGTCCCTTGTTGCATAAAAACGCCTCTTATTAAAGGTTTGGTTCGAAAAGGCAGCTCGCACTCAAAGTATAAAATACCCACGACAATAAATTCGTCGAAATGGTGGCATAATTTTCCGGTTACGCGATTAACGATTATCGCAATGGTATGCCGTCAATACACCACCCACAAAACACCCGTCCAGCTATCGAGCTATCTTAAACAAATCAAAATTGGATTGAGAATTATTATACCTAATTTCCCCTTGTACACTTCCGGCATATGCTACAAAGTAAAAGCTCAACGTCGACATAAATTAACGATTTGGAAAACTCGTAGTCTCGAACAACTTCCGAAAATTCTAAAGGATTAACCACAAGGATTTTTATTAACACCTGACACAATTCTTGGAAACGAGAAGAAAAATCTCACATGAAAACTCTATCCGGGTCGCACAAAGGATTCGAATAAGCACACAATTAATTGATTGACAATGACAAAATTTATTCCGAAACACATGAAATGAAAAATTAAAACAACATTCCTGAAAGAAATAAATGCTTACAAAGCTAGTTTGACTAAACTACCCCGAACAGCAATAAGAACACGTGCGCTAATTGAATCTCGCCCGATAACAAAACTTCTTATCGCCCACGACCAGATGTGCCTAAATTAAAGAATCGTAACTAAATTGAATGAGTTACAATAGCGATAAAATTCAAACAAGAAAATAATATCCAATTACAAACAATTCGAGGAGGAAAGAGAATACTGGGGCCCAAGTTCAAATGAACGAAATAACTCTGTGTCTATTCATAATTAATCCCCCCAAATTACCTACACTTAATTAATTGTAACGTACAGAATGTCATTATTTTTGCTGTTCAGGCCGAAAGAACTCTACATGATGTTGTTTACACAACCATATACATATGTCCTTAAATCCCTAGTTTCCAAGATACAAGGTGCTAAAGTATTAATTTTAATTTAAAAAAAGTTAATAGAACACAATTAACAAAATTGGTTCAAAAATTATTCATTGAAGAAAATAACGCCCCCAACATCAATACACTTTTCAGGTCGTTCGTGAATTGCTCGTGTAGCTCGCGGAAGTGCACGATGCCAAAATTGACAATGCGATCCAATAATGCCTCTCTATGGAAAGAGATGTAATGATTACAGGGTGCAAATGAAGCTTGTTCGCGACATGTTGGAGAAAGCAAGGCAGGCTCCACTCAAAAATACGCAGCTACTGCACCGGAATTTTTGAAACCCTAGTTCCAGTTTAACAATGACAAAGTACAGTACATTTTTGAAGCAACATAAAAAATAGGAAAGATATAATGAAATACCTACTATCACTAATAGACCAAAGGAAAGGAATAGGGAACAAAAAGAAGAAACCATATAGGTAATTCTTCTAGTGAGCAGTGTTTTTAGTGTATTAACTTAAAAAATGCTTAATTTTTGTTTCAAATTCAATGTAGAGGACATTTTACCTACTATTCGTGGTTATACTACCTACGTGTTTATTTTAACTTTGTAGACTATTTTATACGAAGCTTATGTTGGGCCTTTATCCAAAATATTTTTTATTGGCTATTTACTGTTCTATGCTTGCACTCAATCGCATATCACTCATTTCGCATGATACAATTTACAAATATTGGTTAATATTTTCAAAAGAAGATTTTTTAAAGAAATTTTTGTATGGTATTTAAAATTATAAAAAGTTTGCTACCAACGTACGTACTTTAAAACTGTGGTCAGTAGCGTACTTCCGTATGGTGAAGTTTAATGACATTCGTTGCATGTTCTTAAAGAGCACACTTTTTGGATATAACATCATAAAAAACTTGTTATATTACATGAAATTTAAGAGAAAAACTCAAATTAAAGAAAATAGTTCTGTTAGTTAATTTTGTAATTTCACTAGTTTTCGTTGAAAAAAACGCATCCTTTTGTTAGCTTATGTAAAAGCAATTTAGTGCATCAAAAATCATTAAAAATTTATAAGTAAATCTATATGCTTAAAAATTATTTACAGTGGCGTGCGTCTACAGAACAAAGAAAGATCACTTTTATAATTGAAAACACTATTTGTCGCGAGGTACTATTAACGGATGGACCTTTTTTAAAACATAAAAAAACATGACCAAACTAATAAAATTATTAATTAACACCACTATTTTCCTTACTTTGGGTTTTTCTCTCAAATTTGATAATCTAATATGATAAGTTTTTTATGTTCCTATATCCAAACAAGCGTATTTTTAATAATATGTGAAAAGTAGTAGTCGCCATTTAAAAAATGCCCCTTTAACCACGCAGACGTACGCGACGGTTGGTAGCAAAATTTTTTTTAATTTAGGATACCATACATAAGTTTCATTGAAAAAAATGGTATTTTGAAGATATGTCCAGTGTTCCAGAGAAAATGTTCACCCTGTATGTACATACGTTAATGTTTTAATTCGTAGCTCTGGTAATGCTCATATTCATTCTTTTTTAAGGTTGAATTATTTCTTTTAATGAAGGTTGAATTTTGGTTTTATTTTACAATTTATATTTCTGTAAGTAATATCCTTATACCCGAGGATTGAACCGAACAAAAGATATTTCGTTTCGTTACTGAAATCAACTGATAGTTTTACATTGAAACGATTCTTTGTAAAACGCGCTTTTGAGTAAAAGAACATTTTGGAGCCGTACTTGAAAATGTTACTTGTACCTAAACAGAATGACAGCATACCAAAGAATCTGGAGTGATGATAGTTGAATATTAACCGCTACTAAGGAAGAAAATGTGTACTATAATCGTAAGTATAATTGTTTTTGTTGTCCTGAAGATAAAGAATGTTGGGTATTTATCAGGATTTTTGGTTTTAATTACTACGTACCTACATTATATTTAAGCACCAAATACGAGAAGTGAATTTCTGTAGCTGAGGTATAAAAACTGTTGCATTCAGCACACAGCACAATACAATAGTAATTATTAATTGACTTTCTAATGAAGTTGCACTTTGCAAACGTATAATTTCCAGAAGTATTTGCCACCTATGAGGAAATGAAATAAACAAATGGTTTTTGCAACAATTATTAATCTGTCAGAACCTTAAATCGGCCAAGGCTTACTGGGGTACTGGGGTGTCTTTTTGGTTACATTCGAATTTGTGAATAAATGAGGCACTAAAAGCACGTTCGTTGCTTTATTAATCATAATTACTTACATAGGTACCAATTATTTTTTTAATCCGCTCTTATATAATTTTATGCAAAGTTTAATACACTAATACTTATTTCTTAAATGTAATTTCAATTTTAATAATTTATTAAGGTTTAATTAGTGAAAGTTGAAGATTATGTGGTACCGTTAATAATCATTTCAGTGTATATTTACCGAACACCACTTTACAAGTCCGGTTTGGCGTCGACAGAGGAATTTCCGATTTGGGACTTTTGGAATACGAAATAATTACGGAAAAATAATAAGTTCGTTTAATATGGTTACGTTACAAGCACTCAATAGCCAGTCATTTCGCAATTCTTTAGAGCTTTATTCTATTGTTCGTATTTACAATTTAAAATAAAACTTAAGCGAAACAACCACGAATTTATGTCATAAAATCATTGTGCGTAACAGTAGAGTATATATTGACAAATAATTTCGCCATTGTATTTTTATAATAAAAAAATGTTTCTTGGACTAAATAAAAAAGATAATTTAAAGGTAATAGCAATAAACATTGTGAGAACTAACGCAATATTTTGTTTCAGAGTTAATCGAAATGTTCTATTCGCGTGCAGGAAGTAGAAGAGGACACAGATAAAAATGTTAACGGTAATACTAATGCATGCGTTAAGTAGTTGTGGTGGTACCAAACCAAAGTACTAAATTCGCAGATGGCAACAATGAAATATCCGAACGTATCAGGTGGTAGCAACATGGCCGTAAGCGGGAACGGTCCCCACGTGGACGACGTCGATTCCTTGTTTGCATCATCTTGTTGGCAGAATTCAGCTTCAAACGTACAGAACGACTTCATGGAGACGCAAAAGTTAATCTTGGACAGTTCGATAAACAATCTCGGATCCGATAAACTGCTTCTGGACAACTCGATTAATCATGACAACGAAATCGCGACCAAAGCAACGATGGATGCCCTGGATAACTTATTACTGAACTCCCAGCCGATTAACGCAAATTTAGCCGAATTAAAACCATTGCCACCATTTACAGGGTACACGGGCCATTTAAGTATAAACGGTATACAGGGACACCACTATCACGCGCTATCACAAAGAATACCCGAAGAAAATAATAACAGTTACAATAGTTTTAACGAACAAAATAGTTTAGTGTCTAGTTCTACCTGTAACGCAATTACGGACTCCTCTGACGAAACGAAACCTCTATACGGAGTGGACGAAGTTGTCGGCAAAATTGGTTACACGGATTGCGTTAACCCAGATTCCGTTTCTGGTACAAAAATTTACGACGAATGTGGGCAACCGACCGCCGATTCGGTTACTCATATAAAAACGGAAATAGCGGAATACGACATCTCCTCAATAGACGACATTGCAACCCTCATAGGATCTGCCATTGCAGACACCACCGTACCCAACCACGCCCATGAGGAAGACCCATCGGGCTCGCGAGACAGCTGGATGGACCTCGATGCGTGGATTGAGGGTGCGTGCAACGATCAACAAAAAAGCCTAATAATAACGCAAGACGGCTTATCCGAATTTGTAATACAAAACTCCCCTCAGAACAATAACGAATTCAAAACTCACGTCGAATACTCGTCCAAGTTGCATTCCCCGCCCGGAAATTCGACGTTACAATCTCTACTAACCCACGGCTACATGCCTCTCTTACAAAACAGACTGCAGAACGGACCCCCGATAAAACAGGAAGCGCCAAGTTCGACGAATTACGGACTAGAATCCTCGACAACCTCCAGCCCACCCTCGGTAGTTTCAACGACCGACAACTTAGTTTTAAGCATAAACGGACGTTTCGTGCACCACTACAGCGTCCACGGCATCGAACCGGATGACCGAATAAGAAGTCCCGAAATACTCGGACCGAACTACCCGCATACCACGACAACGACACCAAATAGTACCAAAAAATCGCGAAGTAGGGCGCAGAAGAAGCAGCATACGGCAAGTTCGACTGTGTTCCAAACTGAACAGAATTTAGGTTTGTTGGGCAAAGAGAAACCAGTTCATAGGTGTAGTATTTGTAACCGGGGTTTTCTAAACAAGTCGAACATTAAGGTACATTTGAGGACACACACGGGCGAAAAACCCTTCCGATGTGAAACCTGCGCGAAGGCCTTCCGCCAAAAGGCGCACTTATTAAAACACCAACAAATTCACAAACGCATCGGACGGGACTGACGCCCATTCTTTTCCGTTATACTACTCTTGTTTGTGGCAGTTTTGTGTTGTACGCGTTTTTGTATAAAACTATTCGTTATTGAATTGACAGGGAGACGAAAGACCAAAAAAATTATTGCAGATTATCTATTTATATAAATTGACTGTACAAAAATATTTTATATTGGTATTAAAACCGCACTATTTAATAATAACAACAAGAGATGTTTTCTTCGAAATGCGGCACAACTGAAATTGTTGCAAACAAATTCCGTTTGGCGTTTTTGGCCAGATGGAGGTCTTCAAACGTGCTATAAAAAGGTACCTCATAAAAGAGCTATAATAATTCCTAATTAATGGACAATGTGCAATTTTATTTAGTGAGTTGGTGCAGACAACGATTTTGTGAAAATTAGGTGCGCACTCAGCAGATCGGGTGAGTTTTTTAAATTTTTTTTTAAAGAAACAATCCAAGATCGCCTATGAGCGTCGTTTTTTTCGGTAGAAGCCCGCCAAATTTTTTTTAATTCAAATCGTTCACAAACTTCTTTTTACATTTGCGCATTGTGTTTTGTATTCTGTTGTATATTTATAATTATTTGTATTATAGTGTTCTCTTAACTTATATATCGTTTAAAATCGTTGTTTTTACTTCCTAAGGTGTACATATATGTTTTTTTTGTCCATTTAACACGATCCGCACTTTCTTGCTAAGGTACTGCGTCGTTGTGAAAATCAAACGTGTGGTTCAAGCTTAGACTTAGGTTGATCAAGATCTCAATTAATTATCAAAGAAAGATTATATGCATTTCGGCAGTACTGGAAAATCACGATTTTAGCAAAGGTTAACGTTGGGCTTCGAAGAAAACTTCAGTATTCGCGGATATCAATGTGTTAAAAGTACTATTATTTTTAATTGTGTGATAATATTTTGTTTGTGTACAGAAATAGCTATTTACCTATAGATGAAATATTTGTTTGAGACAGACACACAATTCGCTTATATAGAAGAGTATACCCGCAATTGATAGAGTACCTATAGTGTAATTATTTCTTTTTTAGTTTGACATAGTTAGTACTATTTAATAATTGTTATCATTTTATTGTTGATTATTATTACATAGTGTGTTGTATAATAAATGCCTTATTTTTAATCCTTTTGTTTTTTTTTTCACTTAAATTGTACTCCATTCTTTACAGCAAAAATCAATTAACGTCTGCTTGCGAGGTAAATATGAACAATAAAGCCAATTGGTCGTAATCTATAGGACTAAAATTGAATTTGGGCGTCGAATGGAAAATAGCATTCAACGGTTCAACATTAAATTTATGTACACAATATAAGTACGAGTGTTATGAATGGCCTGTTGATAATTTGTAAATAATTCTGTGTATTGTAAAGTAACAGCGCCACTTTAACGGATCCTGTGCGGGGATGAAAATTATTACAGAATTATCCTGGTTGAATATTTTGTTTGCGTACAGAAATAGCTACTTACCTATAGATCAATGGATGAAATGTTTATGCAAACCCTACAGTATGTACTTTCAACTAATCAGGGCCGGCTTTTGGCGTAAGCGATGTAACCCTCCGCTTACGGCGCAGACAAGAAGGGGCTCAAACTTGATGACTGCCGAATCACGGATGTAAAACACCGACGGCGTTCTATTTTTAAGATCAAACGATCACGATATAACATAAATTGAAAAAATTCCTAATATAGTAAGAAATTATATAGCGAATATTCCAGAAATCCCGATATATATCTAGGCGCCATAAAAGATTAGTAATCGGTGATAAAGAACAAACGCGGTTGTGATGTAATCTTTCCGGAAAATGTGATGTGTTTTGTTCTAGAATGTGCAAGACCATTCGGGAGCACTCCAGAATACTCGAGTTGGCTATATAAGTAAATCGAATTGCGTTTCAGGAAAGTTCCAATTTCAACATCGAAGTAATGAATAGTTCCCACTGTTATAAACTGTTAATGCAAGTGATAAATAATATTTGGGTGTTATAAATCAATACATTTCAACATTGTGATAAATGTATTGTTAATTAATTGTAAATAAATAAATCACGTAATTAAATGTACATTACAATATGTTTTAAGTATGTTTTTAAAAAATGCTTGCCAAAGGTTTCCATTATTTAGGCTTTAGCGCGGCAACCTTTACAGTAGGGTAAAATTTGAATTTAACAGTGTAACTTAAACGTTAAATTTTGTTAACAGGGTATGTATTAAAGTGGGTATAATTATTTTAGCATGAGGTCGGCAAATGATTAGCATGAGGTAAGCAAATCAATTGAGATTCTAGCGCGACAATGAAACTCATTGAGTAGGGAATGTGCGGAATAAAAAAAGCAGCATTCACTATCTGAAAGCGCACACGTAAAGTAAAAGCGTGCAAATAGCGCCATAAATTGGTAATTTTAAAAGCGGGTTGATCCTATAGTTAAGGGCTAAGTGAGTTATAAAAGTGAGTGCAAGAAAAAAAGTTCAATGCTAAGAAGACGTACCTCAGTAATAGTCGAAACAAAGCTTCCAATTGGACGTTTAACGGAGCAGTTTTAATTTGTCTTTTTGGAGAAATTTTACCAAGAAGAAAAAGTGATTGAAGATAAGATTGACAAATTTTCGGATAGAATAGGCTAAACCATTAGTGATCTTCCAGTACAAGTGAAAGATATGTTCAGACTAAAGCCGAAGTGATAAAAAATCAAATTTACAAAAACGCAAACGCTACCGTTTAATTTTCAGCAATGACTGATTTTTCTAAAAGCGCAAAGGTTTATTTTTCAGTTTTTCCAACTTCACTGAAGTGGCTGGAACAGCATTTAAAAGTAACGTAATAAATAATAAACATTGAAATGTTATAGTAAATGAAAGCGCGTTTCCATGCAATCACTGATTCTTGTAAAAACGAAGTTTTTTTCAGTTTTGCCCTTTCAGAGTTTAATTGGGGATACAAATCAGGATTGAATGGTAAATGGAAGCGTTTTTGTTCAATTTTCCTTACAGTCACTGGTTTTTCTCAGGATTTTCCAGTTCCAGAATGTTGGCGGAATAAAATTTAAAAGTAACGTAGGTAATGAATAAACTTTATAACGTAATCGTGAAAGGAAGCGCACTTGTTTCATTTTGCATACTATCGCTGATTTTTCCATTTTTTCCAGTTTTAAAGCTAGAAAACCTGACATTTCAGGAATAGAATTTAAAAACAATGTAACAATAATAAACATTCTTTCAAATGTACATAATCGTAAACGTAGAGGCGTACCCAGATTTGTTTAGCGCATTTCCACAAAAATAAAAAAAAATGCGCTATTGTGGCCACTTTGTCCGTCCGTCCGTCCGTCCTCTCGTTTTGCGACGCTACTAGTTCTTTATCTTAAGAGCTATTGTTCTACTTTTTTCGCTATTTGGTTCGTTATGGTGTCGAGTCTTGGCACCAAGGAAGGAATTTTTTCTGTACCGCTTACAAAAAAAGTTATTGTAAAAAAAACAAAAAACCTTTTTTTACATGTTCCATAATTTTACACTTTTGCCGTTTATTAACGATCCTAGAGATCTTTTATAATTTTGTATTGCTGTCTGTCGTCTGTCTGTTGGTCTGTCCGTCTGTTCCTTTGTCTGTCTGTCCCTGTATCTGTCCGTGTGAACGATAACTTTGTTTAGAAATGTCCGATCGCTTTTACATTTCCGTTAGGCGTTAGTTATTAACTGAATTGCATGAAATTCAATATGGGCATAGCTTTAGCCATATAATACGCAATGCCAAAAGTTGAGTCGAATCGATTCAAAATTCACAGTGCCCTTTTAGCATCTCGACCATTTATAAACCGAATTGCAAACTTTTTTACTTATAAAAGTATTTGAATGAAATTTGTACATAGGCACTTGGAATAAAGGAAAATCTAACGCCAGTTTCAAAATTTGGTTTCGCGCATGCGCAGTGTCAACTTTTTTATTTATGGAAGCATTTAAATGAAATTTGATACATAGGTGCTTGGAATAAAGGAAAATCTAGCGCCAGTTTCAAAATTTTATTTTGCGCATGCGCAGTGCCAACTTTTTTTATCTATGGAAGCATTTAAGTGAAATTTGATATTTAGGCGCTTGGAACAAAGGAAAATCTAACATTAGTTTCAAAATTTAGGTTTGCGCATGCGCAGTTCCAACTTTCTTATTTAGAAAAGCATTGAAATGAAATTCTTCTCATAAACTGAACTTGAATTAGCACGTCAAAAATGGATTGCCCATGTACAACGCTATTTTTCATACATATTTGTGGCCGGATTTTTACGATTTTAACAGAAGTTGCATCTTACAAATGGGAAACGAATGCAAGTGGAAATGCGCTTTATGTAAATCGTTTTTCGATTACTTTTGAACTTGTTTCAATGGTGATGGGGGTATAGGGGTAGTTTTTAGTTATAGCACTATGTTGTAAGTATGGCGGATAATAAGATAGTCAATAAGTGATGTCATAAAAGTCAAATTTTTTCTGGATTTTACAGATCAGTTGTGTACTAATTTTGAAGGGTGTTGTAACTCCCCCCTCCCGCAATGAGTGCGCCCCTGCGTAAACGGAAACGCGCGTGTTTCATTTTTCATCAGTTTCAGAATTAGAAAGACTGGAATTGTAAGAATAGAATTTAAAAGTAATAATAAATAGTAAACACTGACACGTAATCGTAAATAGAAGCATGTTTGTTCGCTGATTCACTAATTTTCCTAAAAGCGCAACTTTTTTTTTCAGTTTTTCCAATTTCAGAATTAAAAAAATTGAAATTGGAGGGATATAATCGAAAAGTAGGTAACGTAATGAAATAATGAATAATAAACACTGAAATGTAGTGGTAAGCGTAATTTTTCACTTTTTCATGCAATAACTGATTGGTCTAAAAGCGCCATTCTTTTTTTTTAGGTCTTTGAATTTCAGAGTTAGAAAGAAAACTATTAAATGATGCAATCCCGAATGATCTTTAAAGCTTAATCTTTTTTTTCAGATTTTCCAGTTTGATTTTTCATACACACCACTGACAAAGACAAAGGCAGCATTTTAATAGATGGGTTTTCAACAAGGGAACACAACGGACGGAAGAAGCAAAGAGAAGAAAGAACGTTGAAAAAGATTGATTCAAATAAAGGCATTTCACAATGATCCAAGGGGTGGCTAAAGGAATTACTTTCCAATTATGTCCAGTATGTAACACTCGTCTTCCTTTCAAAATGAATTGCTTTAAGGAAACACAAACCCATGTCCGTTCCGGCATGGATTGAGACGGATTAATCTTGGACTGGCACTGATAGGAAGACAAAAAAACATGGAAAGCAGAGTGTTCAAAAGAAGATAATTGCGGGAATTACGCTAGGAAGGAAGACTGTGGTACTTTTGCATAACTATCTACTGCCAACAAAATAAAATAATCAAAATGAATAAAAATCTGATAGCAGAAGAAAGAATATATTTCCGTGGACTACAATTGACCATAATGCTCTTGCGAACCAGAAACTAGATCAAAACGCGAAAAAATGACACAGTTCCAACGACTGCAACTTGGGCATCTGCGCTCCGCAAAATTGGGTTCGTGAATTTGCTACGCTTGCGGTAGTAATTATTTTGAATATTTAAGAAGCACCAATTCCATGTCGATATATCAACTCCTCACGCATCCGGGTTCGCGTCGTAATCTGTCGTTGAAATTTTATATCATACCGCTTATTATTGGGTTATTCCATTTTAGTAAGGCAACACCTAAAAATCGCGATCTTAATATTAAACAAGGAAACCAGTTTAACAAGACGTGAGATAAAAGACAAGAGTGCCTATTGATGTTGATGATCCTCACGCGGGTGTCCTCATTTGCGGACCAACCAAAGCCTGGTTAATGTAGGGAAGCAGTTCCGCATAGTTACCCCCCTCGTACGCCTCCGGTCCGTGGAAGTGTGCCACGTTCCACTTACCAACTAGCATTTAAATATCATAGGCGTTACATGTTTTTAATTCTTCGATTTTTTACGTATTAAAAGCTGATGAATTTCTTAAAGCATAATTACACCACTAATTGTTCTTTTTTTAATGCTCGAGCCGCAAATGTGAGATATTTTCCAGTTAGAATTCCCTTGAGAAAATAGACGTTTCAACA